CCACCTACCTACCTACCTACCTACCTACCTACCTACCTACCTCCCTCCCTACCTACCTACCTACCTACCTACCTACCTACCTACCTACCTACCTACCTACCTACCTACCTACCTGCCTCCCTACCTACCTTCCTGCCTACCTACCTACCTACCTACCTACCTGCCTACCTACCGACCGACCTACCTACCTACCTACCTACCTACCTACCTACCTACCTACCTACCTACCTACCTACCTACCTATAACCGACCTTAACCTACCTACCTACCTACCTATAACCGACCTTAACCTACCTACCGACCCTGCCTACGCGCGGATGGATGGAAGTGCTTACATATGTATGAGCCTTTATGCACACGGGTTATTGTCTATGTACATTCTCGGCAAGTTCTGCTACTATCCATCCGTTGCTTTCAGAAGCAAACCCGCCTGTCCATTTGAGGTAGCATACGGCTTGCCTGTGAGTTCTGCTCCGTCCTTGAAATCCAATGAGACCAAGCACATAGAAGCAGATGACTACCACAAGCGACCTGGAAGGATCTGGTTTGCTGCTAGTGGCGATTGAGCCCAGAACCTAGGATCACACTTGCCGAGGATGATGTCCGAACCGAACACCGTCATCATCGATGCTATCGGCTTAGACACCATCTGGCCTGGAGCAGGTGTGCGTTCTCAGCGGCCGTGAGGTAAGAAATAGATACGAGACGGAGATCGGGCACTTTCAACCCCCACGTGGCGGCGCAGAGTTCGTGGATCCGAAGGTGTACTTTCTGTTCCTTTTCGACTTTCAAGCTTAGAGCAAGGAACTCTTGCTTCAGCGCTTCGGAGAGAGCTGGATTCAGCTGCAGGTGCGCAACAGCCACGAACTCCCGAAATGGCTGGGGCTGCCAGAGACACAGGAGAAGTGCATGGAGAATAGTAAAACATATCAAACTGTCGATGCAGAAGGCGGGTACAAAAGAAAGAGGCAACACAGAACGTTGATAGGGCAGTTCCTATTCGACAGGACATGCTCAAGGGCAAGAAAGTGATGATGTATTGCGCCATGGCATGCAGTCAGTGATGGGCAGGGTGTTTTCCAGAACATGGGATGAAGCCGGTTGCGGGTGTTTGGCTTGCACTGGTCAGTATAAGGCACCGGAGGAATCCGCTGTGAGCGCTTCTCCGCGCTGATGTCCCAATTGAAGTGTCTTGCCAGGCATTAACTAAGCCGCAGTTCCCGGGAGTTGGAAGTCGGGAGCCCTCGTCCCCTTTTCCGGGGCCCCAGCAGCATCGAGCCGAAAAGCCATGTGCTGTTTTGTTCTGTTCTGGCCTCGCTTGCCCCGAGGCAGGACAACCCTGAGTTCGAAACAGAAGGGGAGTTCATGCTGCGAGGCAAGGGCTTGCTTGCAGTTCGCTCCCTCTACTCCCTCGCTTTTTCTGTGACCTGTCAAGCACAGAACTTGTCCAGAAGGTCCGGTTGTGTCTTGTGCTTGCTTGTTGTGTTGCGGACTGGATTTTGCAGGGGCCTGCATGCCTTGTGCCGACATGGGACGAGAAAGTGTCAAGAGTTCGCTTTGCTTTGCTTCTACATTTTAAACATGTCTACACAAAGAGATTGTTTGGACATCCACTCACGTGTATTGCGTGCAGCGTCTGCCCAGCATGCCTCGTTTGGAAAATGTTGAGCTGAAAACCTGGCCAGTCGGTCATCCCATCGTGTTTCAGGACGTCCTATGCCTCTGATGGGTTGTTGAACGAAGCTGGACTGCCATCTTGATCGTTGGCATCCAGTTGTGAGTTTAAAAACAGACACCGCGAAATTGAACTGACGAAGCAGTTGTTCATTCCACTTGGGCACTGGATGCAGAAGAAGCCCCGTATGCATCTAAACAAAGAAGCAGACGCTTCAGAATGCAACGCGCCACACGGTGCCGCATGAGGAAGCTTGACTAGCCAATGACAAGTGCCATCAAACAGGTGGCTCACGAAACAGTTTGTGTTTACTTAGCTGGCTGTGCTGCCGCTGCCACTGTTTGCCTTGCTATGACAGATTACACTGCATGACAGATCTTGCATTTTGTACGCGGGTGGAGTCTTTCAGAGCAGGTTCGAATGAAGCAGATTGGATTGTGTTTGTGTCCCTTACTACAGTGTGTGTGTGGACCTTAGGCTGCAAGATATATGTAGCAGGTGGGATCGAGCGGTACGTGCGAACCTTCCCCGAAGGCGGCTACTGGAAGGTGGGAGGGAGCTTTTGGTACTCGAGAGTCTTTATGCGGTTTAGGATGGAGACGGAGGGAGAGCCCGGCCTGTGTGAAGTCATTCAACGCGCTCAGGGCAAGAACTTCCTCTTCGACAAGCGCCAGGAGCAGATTCCGGAGAGAAAGCCTTCGGAGGAGACCGAGAAGGAGGCGAAGGGGGCCTTTGGCAGGGTTCTTCGGGCCTGTGCACGCTTGGTGTCGCTTGGTCCCTGTGAGGTTGAGAGCCGCTGCTGCGTTTGCAAACGCATCTGGGGGCTTTACCGCGGGCAGTTCAAATGCTCCGTGCAGGCCCGTTGCGACCGATTTCCGAAAATGTCAGTGTGCCACCGCGCTGCTGCAGGACTGTCAGGTGCCCGTCATTGTGTGCCCAGACTGCCGCTCAGAGATTGAGACCGGGCAGAAAGTCCCAGAGCTGCAGTGCCCGCTCTGCGAGGACCATGCTGTCATGGCCTTGGCCTGGCAAGTGCATTGCTCGTGGCGTGTTCAGGAGGGCTTCAGGCTGCGGGACCTCCACACACCCGCCCTGAAGCCAGCCGAGAAGCGGAAGGTGCGCGCCGTGCTGTGCGAAAGCCGGGTTGGCGCGCTTGGCAAGCCTGGCTCAGCCTGGCTCAGGCAGCATCCGCTCCGGCCGGTGTTGCAGAGCGCGCGGTGAAGCGCAGAGACAACGACTCGGGTGCAGATGGGTGCTTGTCGTGTTCGGGCTGTCGTCAAGTCGTGAGGCCAAGCATCAGGGCAAAGCGCCTTCGCAACGACTCTTCGTGGGAAGCATGCCTCTGGCAGTCGATGCAACGATGGCAGCTCGACTGCACGAAGATGGAAGGCGAGATGATGCACTGCAGACAAGGTACAGTAAGTAGAGTCCGGAGAGCTGTGCATGGAAGTTGGGCGCACTGCCTGCAACACTGGCTACGACCACGATTTCGCAGCGTCCGCAGCCGTCTCTGAAATATCATCAGAAGTAATTAAAAGCAGTACAAGTAGAATCTTGCTGGCTGCAGATGCTGACACCGCGACTGCGTGCCCGCCTTGTCAGGTGCGTGATGCACTCGGGAAAGGTGCCGACGCCTTACCACGACGTGTGGCGACAGCACTCGCGCATGGCGGAAAAGGGCTCTGCAGCTTGGGCTTGCCCTGTTTTCTGTGAGGTAGAAATCGTCCAGTGGATCCATGACAAGACCACCGGTTTCTGGTATGGGTCCAGCTTTGTGAAGATGGCCACCCTAAGAGACGCTGAAAGGGTGGTCGAGGCTGCAGGCAGCCTACGAATAGGCAAGCGAGGCTTGCTGGCACTTCTGGTGATTGCTGCAAGTGCACTTGAAAGGGTTGCCTGCAGTCGGGTCGGCTTGATCTCTGAGCCCTTCATCATCGACCTCATAGGACCTGATTCAGCCCGAATCTCACCTGCCAAGAGTTGTTGAATCAGGAAAGCTGCGCATCAATTTCGCACCGGTGCCAGATGGGGAGTCTTGGCCTCCCCCTGGTTTTGAGCAGGTGGAGCGACCACCGGTTCCGGTTTAAGATCAGCTTTCGCGTGTCGGCGCGGGCGGAGCGAGCCCCACGTGCCTGTTTCACAGCGCTGCGGGTTGATCGGGAGGCAAAGCTGAAGCAACCCGCCGAACAGGTCAATTTGCTTATGAGCTGATTGGCCGATTTAGCCCTCCCATGTTCAGAAGGATCAGAAAGACGTGGCGGCGGTGCCATGCACAAGACTTGAAGAGAAGTTTGGAGTTGCAAGGACTACGCAACGCAAAAAGATGTAATCGAGCTCTGACGGGCCTTCTCAATGGGTTTGAGGTGCAGAGTGAAACGTTCAAGACTTGATGTGCAGCTGCTCGTACCTTGTCCAGCCGTCGTGTGTTTGCACTGCGGCTCAAGTCTTTGACACAAGTTTCATGCGGCAAGGACACGCTGACCGGAGCGCTGCAGCTATCGCGTAACACCACAGACTCGACCGCAACGACGCTCCATACATGTGCAATCATGTGCATGCAAGGCCTTAAGAAAGCCCGATTCTACAGCAGGCCCCATGCTGGCAGTCTCGAAACCTCGGCCAGTCAAGCAGCGGGTCCTAAAGCGCCAACCACCTGGCGGATGCAGTCAGTCACTACTCGCAGTGGCCCGCAACTGTCGGGAATGCGGGGAACGGCTGACAGCACTTGAAGGGGCCTTGCACCTGTGCCCGGCTATCTTCGAGTGGACATTCCCAGCTGAAACCCTGGGCAGCGCACCAAGTGCGGAGGGTCCTTGCCGATTAGTCCGGTTGGGTGCAAATGCTCGGAAGGGCGCTGCAGACGCAAAGCTCGTGGAGCTTTGGGAAAACATCCGCAAAACACAGCTCTCGCACATCTTGGAACTGCCGTCAACAGAGCAATTGGCAAGCCAGAGTGCTAGTATCTTGCTCGCTTTGCGTGGCAAGGATGTTCTTGCACTGCTGAGTGCAGAGCGCATCACTGCAGACAAGCTCGGTCGACCTTTCTTAGCCTCAAGAGCAACGCAAACACAACCGATGTTGCAATCTCAGAAGACTGAGCCTCTTCTTGGTGTGGCGTTGCTCTGGACGCGACGCCGCGAGCGGCGACGTGGCCTTGCAGTCGCGCTGGTGGACCGCTGGGGGCTCAGCAGTGCGGATGAGAGAGAGTGCGGCTGCCCCCGGGGGGGAGAAATGCTGTTTTTGAATTGCAGGTGCGCGGCAGCTGCTCGCTCCCGGCAGCCGGGTTGCTTTCTCTCAACCGACCGAGCTTGGCCAAGCCTTTGCCCGGCAATATGTGCAGAGGAGCTCATGTGCTGTTAAGAACTTTATGGCATGGCGCATAGCACGTTGGAAGCTGTCGTGCCAGGATGAGTGAACAGGAAGAGAGCAGCGTCTTGGTCTATGCGCCTGACTTCCCAGCTTGAGCTGCCAGTTTGTGGCTTGGGATATCGACACTTCCAAGCCGTCATCTACATACGTTAGAAAATATGTTTCACAGCGTCAGCTTGTGTTGTAGCTATCAGGGCTGCTTTTCGAATCGGATGCAGCATTGCGTGGGAGATTCAGTCATAGTTGAATCTTACTGTACATTCAGGGGTTTTGCTCCGGTCCACAACCCGAGCACAGAGAGCGAGGATGCCGTGGCGAAGGGGCGCAGGCACGACTTCAGGCAAGTGCTGCTCAACCAAAACGACATTCATGCATGTTTCAATTCGCGATACATTGGATGGCTCGATGCCTGGAATATCATATCTTTATGCCAGAAACACTGGTCATCGACATTTCAAAGCAGTTGTGGTGATCTGCATCGTGCAGTTGGAGCTATCTTTCAGGGGCTGATGGGGCTCTAAATGCCTAAGTAGCTTGGACGGCGGCCCGAGGGCTGGTAGAGAGCGCAGTACCTCTCCTGCTTGTACCGGATTCACACACCGCTTTGCTCGTGCATTCGGCTTGCTTTCTTTCAAGACACCTTACCTGGCACATGGTCATCTCACGGACATCGCAACATGGGGACATGGTAGGCGCAGGGTGTCAGAAGCAAAGAAGAGCTGGCAGCTAGCAGACCAAAGCATACAGTCATGCCTGCCCTGACTATGACTGAGCCTCTTCCATCAACAGATATCAACGGATTCGGGAAAGCGCGAGAAGTCGATTGGATTGTTGTGCAGCCGCATGAAGTCGTTGAGCGCGCACCCCCCCCACCCCATCCCACTCCTCAGAAGTCTCAACACCAAGCTTTGAAAACGTTTCACCCTGGTGGTCCATGTGGTCCCTTTGGAGCTTCCTCAGCCGCAGACCTGGAACTGGCTGAATGCCTGAATGCCGAAGCACAAGCACCGATTTCCAGGTAATGCGCGGCATCAAGATCGTGCTACTGAGGCCTCATGTTAGAAGGGTGTCCGTCCAGGGTTCTGGCGGTTTGTCGCCGGGCCTGCCGGGCCTGGATTCTCAGAACGGCCGTGCCGAGGCTGTTAGTGTGCTATCTTGCAGCCGGTCAAGGCACGGCTCCGAAGTTTTGGCAAACTGACTTGAGGGTCTCCTCAATTTGGGAGGTGATGATGATCAGCCCCTGACACCCAGGGAGAGCCGTAAACCCGGACTGACCTGACACGCGACTGGTGATCCCATGTGCCTGAACTCTGGAAACTTCTCGGGCCTGTGCTGAGTCTTCTTCGCTTTGCCGCCTGCCATCCTTGTGCGGACGTTGGTTTCGAACCTGGATGCGTCGCGATGGAGCCGGATGCCCGGAATTGTTCGGCTTCAAGAAAGCTGACGGTTTTGGTCCGAAATATCACGCCACATAACGTGACCTCATTGCCCAGCCTGGCTGAGGCATCTACGAGCGATTCACGCTGGAGGCGAGGGCCAGAAGCCTTGACTTGAAGCCAGCAGCCCAGCATACTGGCACTCGAGGTTATTGGCGAACGCTTGAAGAGCGGTTTGGCTGGTGGCATCGGCCCTGAAAAGAAGCCTTCGGCGCACCAACACCGGTCTATTGCTGGTGCTCCCGGACTCCCAGGTCGTCCACTCATCGTCGAGGGTGAGGCAAGGTGAAGCTGTCCTGTGGCAGCTATGTCTCCCTTTTGAAGCAGGTGTGCGATTCGTCGATGACGCTGGCCGGAGCACTAGACGGATCCTCAGTCTCCCCAGTATCCAGACATTGCGCGCATCGATGCGATGTCGGGAGGAAGGCTTCGTCCCAGCGGCAGACACTTTCACGGCTCCCGAAGAAGAGCTGACGGAGCTCTCGGAGGCTACCGCGGTCTTTTCGGAGTCGGATGTCGCCTTCGCTGCGCCCTTGCAGGTTTGGCGCTTCCCGGGTCTGCGGCTCACGACAGGAGGCCTCTGACTTTGTGGGTGCCAGTTGGAAGCGCGCTGGATCACAAGGCTGAGGACTGGGGTGCTGCACTGCCTTGACTTGTTTGCTTCGGCTCCAGCTGCATAGGATTGTAGCGTGCGCATCTGTGCGCCTCATGGGCCGGCTAGTGCTCGGTGATGAAACCAGTCCTGATGGGATTGATGGGTATGGGAGCCGTGCTGCTTCCGGTGTGGCTCACAGACCGCCGGCAAGGCACCCTGGTGTTGCGCTGAGCTCGGCTTTCACGAGCCCACCTTCTGCCCCACAGACGTCTGGTACGAGTGCGGATGCAAGAAGTGGGAGCTCCCTGCCGAAGAAGGAGACGCTGTTTCGAGTTTTCTGCAACGAGCTGGGGAAAAACTGCAAAATTTCAGACAATTGGGGAGGGCCCTCGAGACAGCAGATTGAGCAGGCCAATGCGCCCAGTCTCGAACAGCGACTGCCCCCTGTAGCCCTGGTGCTTTCCGAGAGATGGAGGCAGAGGCTGCAATCCAGTAAGAGAGATGCGAATTTCCTGTGAGGCTGCTGAAAAAGCCAGGGTTCTTTTCATCTCTGTCACGCGGTTTGTTCAGGTGTGTTACCCCTTATGAAAGCCATTCTGTCGCCGAGGGGCCGGTTCATTCATTGGTTGATCGATCCTCGGATTGGATCATTGGCACTCGCTTGTGGCTGCCAGCCATGGGCTGAACCAGCTCAAGAGACTCACCGGGAAGCGGCATGGGTTGTAGGATGTTGTAGGCTGCTATATGCGAGACTAAACGAGAACGGAGATTCATAGATGTGTCGGTGGTTATGCCGGTAAATAAAAGATTCAGATGTCTCCTACATCTTCGTAATTTTCTGCACACGTGTACAAATCCATGTGTAGATAGCTGAGGGTGTAAAGACACCCTGCAACGCGTTGACACTGATGTTTGTTAGAGCTGCAACGCTGCAATTCTGGGCCCGGGGTTCCAAGTCGAGAGCCTATCGCCATGGCTAGGAGATCAACGCCCAGATCGTCCACCCCAGAGCGGGCAGTTAGGCGATCTCCATCCGTTGCCTCAGAAGGGGCCGTGGCGGAGGAGCAGGGCAGCACATGGCACGGGGCACCAACGCGCACGGAGAGCGTTGAGATCGAGCGCTACGCGCTCTTCGGCCCTGCAGAGGTCCTTGGCGAGCGCTCGTCGGACCTGCGGCGCATAGACCCGTCAGTTGTTGGGATGTCTTTTGACGAAGTCTTCAGCTCCATGGAAAGTCCTTGGCACTTGGACAGGCGTGACATCAATCAGTCCCACAGCTGCGATTGGCCCCCAGCTGAGCCTGATTATTGGTGCTCGAGCGATGCAGGCAAGATCTGCTTCATCCCGGTGCCCGAAGGGCTGCAATGCAGACCTGGCCAGTACCACAAAGCTGTCGGGGAAGGCTGGCAACATTTCAGCCATATCTCCAGGGCACCTGGCAATGTCGGTGGCTTCCACAGCTGCTGCATCGACACCGCCCAACCCGGATCTTCTTGGACACTGGTTGCCAGATTGGCGGACTTCGGGTTGGTTCTGGGGCGCGATGCAGGTGTGCGCGTGGAGTTCGCAGCGCTGGTTCGCGACGGAGCGGAGAGCCTGGTAGCTTCTGTTGGGGCGCACGACGAGTGTCGGTCCTTGTTTCTGGTTGACAAAGTCCAGCTTGACACAGGGAAACTGCTGCTCGCAGACCCCGCAGATGCTGCGGACTTCGACGACGGGCGGCCAAACTCAGCAATGCCAGCCTCGTCTGATGCTCAAGACTCGATAGGCAGTGAGCCTTACGACGGTCTTGATGGGCCAGCAGTTCCAAGCGGTTTAGGAGCGGGCTATTATCCAGTGATTCTGTCGCAAGACTCCCTGCAACGAATCTGTCGCGTGACCGTGGTTTTCCATCCCAGCCGACTGCCCAAAGTGTCCCGAAACTTCCCTCCGCGGGCCAGATCGCCAGCGAGGGCACAGGAGAAGCCGGCAGCAAAGGTCCCCCGGCCACCCAGACCCAAAAAAGATCTCCTGACCTGACTCAAACGGGGAAAAGGCTGGGGAAAAGTCCAGCCTGTGCCTCTACCTCAAGCCGTCAAGGTGAGAACCAAGAAGCCTCATCCCAGCTGGAGCTTGGAGGTGTCTTCAGTGCCTGCTGGTGCCGGCCGGAAGGACCGCCTGGTGGCTGTGAATCGCACGCCGCAAACACCTTGTCGCTTCGTTTCTCGTGACTCTTCCGTTTCAGGCCAGAGGCGGCCGGATCAGACAGAGACGCCTGCGATGCGAGTCTGCGAGCCTGCTGTAGGTGCTTTCCATAGCCGGGGGGGGGTGTTGATGTGCGTGCGTAGCCAGTCAAGCTTTAGTTCTACGTCCAGGGCTTGAGGCCATGTACTTTGGCGGACTCCTTTGCATCAGCGTACATGCACCTGTCGCTGGCAGGCGGGCTTCTTCATGTGGTCGGCAGCCGAGCCCCTGCCCGAATGCCGCTGCAAAGGAAAGTTCCTTGCCGAGGTCGGCCCTCTGGAACTTGTTGGCAAGGATGAGAGCCCGCCTGAGCAGGCTCGACCAGAAGCCCTGCGAGTCCCATCGAGTTCCTAACCTCAAGAAGCTTGGATGCAGGATCCGGAAAGTCCTCGAGCACCTTACGTGCGCGTGTTCCTGGTCTTGCTGCAGGGGGGGTTCTGGGCGGCCCACCCAGCTGCCAGGTACTTGATCGATTTCTTTTGAATGTGCTGGGCTACTCCTTGGAGGCTCGGGCACCCAGCCTCCCAGCCTGATGCGGTATCCCATGAGTCTGATAAAAACTGATATATATATATATATGTATATATATATATACATATATATATATATATGTATATGTCAGCTTCACATTGACCGGACGGCATGCTTCGCTGTGATGCAACAGCCTTCTCCGTGTAGGCTTCTTCCTACACAGTTCTGAATGCCTCGGTCCAGGTCGACTACGATCGCATTCGCGTGGTGGATGAAGACGTAATGCTGTAGCCCCAGGCAGTGGGAAGGCTTGACAAAGAAATAATTTAGATCAGTGAAGCTGACGACAATGAGGACTGTGAGCATCATTATGCCGCTGAGGTGCGGCGGTCCCGGCTCCTCGGTGTCGAGTCAGGCTCGGTGCCCAGAGCCCCAGCTTCGGGCACCCCTCCTCTTGTGTGTAATCCTGTAGCAGGTAGTGCTTGTTGTTGGCATTATCTCGCTCTCGCATGTGTGGAGTGACGATTCTTTGGGAATTGCATGCAAGAGCACATGAAGCGCTGAGAGTGTGAGTCGCGAGTACGAAGCATAGACGCAGGCTTCTCTCTGACTGTTTGGGCTTTTGCCTCGTGTCCAGAGCGGCGTTCAGGGGGAATAACCCAGGTGGAAGCTTTTGACAGCTGTCTGCCGTGGCTGAATGGAGTCCATCTTCCGCCAACTTTGCCTCCTCTGTTTTCGCACCTGTGCATTTTGCGCCCCACCACAACAAAAAAACACTTGCGGGGGTCAGAGTCGCTCTCTGGCCTTCTACCCAGGTGGAGAAGAGGGAAAGAGACAGAGGGAGGGCCTTGGGCAGGCCTTCCTGGGCCCGGGTGTGGGCACGACAGCAGCATCTGCATGGGGCCCAGCTCGTGCTTCGGATTTGATCTATGGTCCGTGGCATGGTTGAAGCTCCACGATACCTGGCAAGTCGAAGCGTTGGTCGGAAATTCCAGCCCCGACAGAGGTCAAGCCGGGGATCCAGGTGATTGCATCATTGGGGCAACCAAGCACCGTGCGCCCTCCGAGAGTTTTTTGGGCCTCAAGTCAGTTATGCAGCTTCTCAGTTCAAGTAGGCCATGACAGGCATAATAATATGGCATAATGTTGAATTATTAATGAACATATAACATAAACTCATGCTCAAAAGCATAATGTTGATTTATTGCACTACCCCCAATATTTCTTGCTGTCGATGCAGGTGGGCCAGCTCGAGGTCCAGGATGCACAAGGCTATCATCCTGAGCTCAGGGCCCGGGCCCTGAAATATTCAGGGTTTAGGGTTTAGGGTTTCCAGCTGATAGCAAAGAGCCTGGGTTCAAAAAAAAAGGGTTTAAGGTTTAGGGTTTAGGGTTTAAGGTTTAGGGTTTACTGTCAGGCACAAGGTTGGTGTCTGGTAGAGGGAGGGGTGCAAACACAAGATGTGCGGAACTGCGACGGTGCTGGAGTGAGCTGCGATAGGTTTCCAGGAAAGAAGATCTACGAGATCTCATGACAAGCCGGTTTTCTTGTCACAGTTCGGTAACTGTTCTTGTGTGGTTCTCTTTCTTTGATCCTAGACTCGGCGCGCACGCGCCCCGTGGCTGGTATAGAAGTCGACGAGACCTGGTGGTTGGCACGATTGTCCTAGGTTGCAAGATAGTTGATCGTACTCTTAATTTCGTTTCTTGAGCTTGTCCCGGAACCAGAATGCTGGCTTGCATCAAGATGACCTGAATGCCCCCAGAGACTCTTTGCCTCACTCTTGCTGCGGCCCTCGTCTGAAACAAGTTGCCACATATTCGGCGTGCAAGTTTCAGAGATCGAGCCGAGGCGCCCTTGGAAGAAGGGGTGGACCCCACCGGTGAGAATGCTTCATTGATCTGGCTCACGCCCCGGCTTTTGGGTTTGCACTCTCTGCTCGGCTGAGCCGTTTTTGCAACAGAGTTTTGGCGGGCGAAGCCTCGTGTCAGGTCGGATCTGGCGACCACGACTGCCGGCACGTACCGGGCATGCTCCCCAGACTCGATGAGTGATGCCTTTGTTGACATGCAAGAATGGACCAAAACTACAGAAACCCACTTGAGGTCTGCTGGTGTTCTGCTCTGAGGTGGGACTTGGAAGCTTGTTTGTGTTTTCGCATGTTCGGGCCAAACGAATAAACATGCTTGTGCCGAGCTCCTCTTGTCACCATTACTTTGTCAGGACAAACAATGCAGGGGAGAATCCGGCACGAGACCGATGATGGAAAACATCATAGTGCGCAACACCAGCTGAGCGCGTGCGGCAAGGTTGACCTGACCGACTTGTTTCCCTACCCTCCTGGAGAGGCCGGGAAGAATTACGAGAAATGCTTTTGCTTGCCTGTCTCACTGCCTACTCACCTACCCACCTACATAATTACCTACCGCCCTACCGACCTACCGACTTACCTACCTACCTGCCTACCGACCGACCGACCTACCTAGTACTACATACCTCCTGGCTGCCTACCTGCCCAGCCACATACATACTTACATACACATACTCACGACTCGCATAGTTACAGACATACATATGTACATACATACATGTATGTATGCCTACATGCATGCATACGTACATACATATATGCAGGCGCAACTGCAGGCGCAACTGCAGGCGAGCATCTCCACGTGTCTATACATAGTGTGTGTGTGTGCGCGCGTGTGTGTTTGTGTGTGTGTGTGTGTGCGTGTGTGCGCGTGTGTGTGTGTGTGTGTGTTTGTGTGGGGTGTGACTGTGTGTGTGTGTGTCTGTGTCTGTGTCTGTGTCTGTGTCTGTGTCTGCATGCGTCGTTTTGCGATGCATGTGAATTGCAAGTTGCATACAGTCTCCGTTTCAATAACGGAGCGAAGCTGAAGCTGTCACCAAGCTGGCATGTTGCTCTCGTGTTGGGCAGGTTAACCTGACGCCAGGAGCTCGGTACGAAAGCTTCCTGTGCCAAAATTTCTGCTTCACTGTTCGGTTTCCTTATAGATCAACACGGAAACATCAGCGGGGCCGAGGAATGCGACCAATGACTCGAATTTCACCGGATGGGATTACGAATTCTCTTGGGAGGCCTTGTGGCAGAGAGTTTTCAGCCCATTCGATTCCGTAGGCTGTCGCGTGACTTGAGGACTATGGCGTGGTGTTTCAGCGGCAGCTGGCGGCAGCTCAGACCCAAGATGCACCATGACCGTCCATGAGAAATAAGCCTCACGTGCATGTCGAAATCTGCACTGTAAGGCTGACCCTAGTTCTGGCTCGAATCGAAAGTGTTCGGGCTCGGCATGAGCTCTAAGGAGGCCAGGGATGATGGCTAGGGCCAGGGATGGCTTGCGGTGCAGACGTCCATGAGGCACAGGCTGGGCAATCGTCCAGCACGACCTTCCGAAAGGGGCCCGAGCAAGCCGCAGAAAGCGAACGCTTGTCAGGGGAGACGGCAGAGACACGGGCACGCGATGGCTCTACCGATTGTGCGCTTGAAACAAACTCCGGTAGTTACAAGTCGAGTTGGCAGCGGTGGCAGTGCATGCCGAAATTCTTGGAGCAGCAGAGGCAGCAGCTTCTCGAGAAGCCGCAAGAGACCCCGACCAGCAAGCCTCCATCCAAAGAAGCGCTGGAGTTCTTCGAATCCCTCTTGGTCGGCACTGAGCCGATGCAGAGCGCGGCGAGCACTGGAGTGGCGCAGGTGCAGAGCGCCGCGCGGCGCCTGCAGCGCCAAGCCGAAGCCGCTCGTCGCCGGCGCCGGCCGGACCCCGGCCCGGAGCGCGCCAGCGAAGGCCCTGACATTCCCGAAGCCGCCGAAGCCGCCCAAGCCGGCTTTGTGCCACCTGAGCCTGGCTCGGCTGGCTCGGGCCCAGACGAAGCCGGCCAGGCCGATAGATCCGATGGCCGCAGGGCCGGGGTCTCCCACGAGGCCTTCGAGCACCGGGAGTTTCTGCGGCGCTTGGAACACCAGCGAAAGCTTCAAGAGCTCCAGGCGCAGGCGGAGCGCGAACGCCGAGAGCTCCAAGCTCAGATCGAGCAAGAGCAGGCTGAGATGGAAGCGCGACGGAATGCCCAGGAGGAGTGGAAAGAGGACCTCGCACGCAAGACTCAGAAAAAGAAGGAGGAGGCCGAGCGCGATGCTTGGTCGAGAACGGCAAGGGACACCGACAACTACTGGAGAACACGGTGGTTTCGTTACATCCCCAAGCCTGAGAAGGGTAAGGCTGATAACGGGCGAAAGTGGAGCCCTCGTCCACCGCGAGCTGGCGCTGGTGAGCGAGAGGGTACTGAGGCAGGTGCAAGGCACCGGACCGGCCCCGGAGCAGCGCCTCCGCCTCCGCCGCCTCCGCCTCCGCCCAAATGGCCAGCATCCGCTGAAGGCCGACAGCTTTTGCAGGAGCTGCTGGAACACAGAGACGAGCCTCTCGAGTCACGCAAGCGCGCCTGGCACCGGCCTCAGACCGCTGCCGTGAGTGCAGTGCGTTTGCGGCGTTCCAGTCTTTCTGAATTTTGAGGGTAGCCAGAAAGGGCAGTGCAGTGAGTGTTGCAGGCGAGCCCTTTGTCTGCAATGGCACCCGGACAAGAGCCTGAGATGTGTTAGAAGATGTTCGAAGGCTGTCTTGAGCAGTTTTGCTTGCAGTTTTCGCTCGTTTGCCGCCAGAACAGCATTCTTTTCAATCAATCATCACCTAAGCATTTGCAAAGCCATCGTACATCAGCTCAGGAGCGAGGACAAGGAGACGGCCACGCGAGTCTTTCAGCAGCTGTCGGAGCTCAAGCCGTGGTTCTTGCCTGAAGCCTGAGGCCTGCAGCCCCTTGCGTGCGAAGATCGCATGCGGGCCGTTTCTGGCTGCAGTTCGGAGTCTGAAAAACGTGGCGCTGGACAAAAAGCAGGTTGTAGGACCTATTCCTTCTGGCGGCATGCTGCATCGAGCATGGAAGAACCATGGCGGGTGAGTTTTCACGCAGAAGTCAGGCTGGAGCTGATTCGGCAGGCCTCATAGAATTACCAATGTTGTTCGCTTGGAGACAGTTGCTTCGTGAGCTGAGCTTCCGTGCTTGGTCAGGCGGCAACCGAACCAACGAGACCAACCTGACCGAAAGTGCGGGCACCAAGTCATCCTGTCCCATGCTGGGAGGCATCGCTGCCTTCAGTAGGGTCTGATGCACGGGAAATTGGGGCTTCATCATGGGGGATAGACACAGAGACTCATCGACATCCCCTTGGTCGAGCCAGAGACACGCCTTACAGTTGTTCCGGAAAAAAACCACGAAAGATGTGGAGCAGGCAAAAGTGATTGACAAAGCCCCCATGTCGAGGGCGCTTAAATTGAAATAGTATGCCCGGAAGCGCGCACTCAGGCGATGGCGATGATATGGATGACAACGACACCAACTACAGCAATGAAAGCATGCTGCCCATGGACGGCCCCGACAATCAGATGCCGATGACGACGATGGAAGACATGCCGGAGAATGTTTCAGCTTGCAGCCCAGCTCAGGGTCATCCCAAAAGCCTCGGGTCCTTAGCTGCGCATGCCTCCCTTGGCAGAGCCGGCAGGCACCTCTCTGCAGTTCCGATGCGATGCCGGCAGCCCAGCGGGCGGGTTGCAAAGTAAAAACAAGGGCCCGCCGCCCGCTACAAAGATGTGGCTTCAAAACTTGGGGTTCGTGGTCATGGTCATATCATCTAGACCCTAAATGTGAAATCTGTGCAAGTGAAAGCTATGACACAGCAGCTGCTGTGTCAGCAGCACAACTCGAATAACTCGCTTCATGCGAGAGCCCGGCCCGGAGGTTCAACCTCGACCTGGGCAATTTCTCCATCGCCGGACCCACGGCTTTGGAGGCCCGCAGCCGCAGAGACTTCGGAGCTTCCTTCGTCTCGGAATCACCGGAATCGGATTATAGAGCAGCCTGCTACAGCCCGGTATGCGAAAACGAGGCGTTGCATGGCGTCTAGGCCTAGGCGGAGATGCCAAGAGGGCGAAGTAGTACAGGTTTGATAGCCTGTGGGTCTGAACGTCATTGCCTCGAATTTGATCGAAAAGCAGGTCATTGGAGGCGAGGGCTTTGATCGGCGAAAAGTTCAGGCGCGGACTGTGTGCATCGGCTTTTGCGTTCCCTTGTCCGCCTGGGGTACTTGGCCACACTTGCGAAGTCGCCACACTTGGCGGACTGCTGCTTGAGATGGTCATGGTGTCCAAGCCTACCAGCACGAAACATGTGCGTGAGGTTGGGACGAACTTCTCCTTGAAAGCCGGTGACTCAAACAAGCTGGTGACAATCTGGCGTCAGAGAGTATTCTTAATCTCACCCTAAGAGAGACCAACTCGAAGAGCTAATTCTCGTAGTTAAAGGCACCCGAAAGCTGCCCCCCGGGGTTACACTTTTCTTTTTGGAGCTCGGAGGTTCTCAAAAGTTCTCAAAAAGCGAACCGCGGGGAGCGGGTTCCAAGGTGCTCGGCTTTGGCCTCGGCGACGGCAACTCGCAGAGGCTTCGCTTGGCCCAAGCCTCGGAAGATCGGAAAAAAGGAGCCTTCGAAGCCTTTGCCAAAGGTAAAGATCGCGCGATGCTTGGGGCTTTGTTGACGTTTAGCTTTAGCTCCTGGCCTGGAAGGTGCTGGCACCCCTCCAGTGTGGTCAAGAGGGGACATGGCCCCAGCTTGCCATGACATCTGCTTTAAAAGTGCAAAAGGTCGCGGCTTCGATGTAGGTCCGAGAGCGACGACAGGGGTAGCTTTCGCCAGCAGACGTGCCCCAACAGCGCCCATGATACTGCGGGTGGCAGGGTAAGTGGATACGCAGAAAGAACAATTGAACCATTCTTTCCACTAGGGCAGGTGAGCACTTGTCGATTCGTTCAGCGCATTCATTCGAGCTGTCCGGGCCGATGATAGCCAACATTTTCAAAGTGGGTACGTCGCCGAATCCGAACAGAGTGTAAAAAATTGCGGCCCTGTTTGTCCGCTAATGTTGTTTGATGCCGAGGACCTTCAATGGCACGGACCATCTGCTGGGCCAGCTTGCCGAGGCCCTGGCAGCTGGGATGCGTCCGGCGATCAACTTTGCGCACCTGCATGTTTCGAGCGTTCCCTAAGCGGCTCGCGACAAATCAGGAGTCGTTGGGGTGGTTGTCGTGGCGGCTTTGGTATGGCCGCTGTTGTTGCTACAGTTGCGACTGTTGCTACTGTGTCGGCGAAGGCGAGAAAGTACATGCCGATTGTACCGTGACTCATGGTGCTTGACATGCTTCACGCCTTGGCACGCTCAGTGCCTCCAAGATGGAGAAGAGCCGTAAGAGTCCTGGAGATATTTGCAGCTGCCAAAACTGCATTATTAGTTCGTCGAATCTCGCCTGCCAACGTGATATTAAATCAATCGATGCAGCTGGAAATCCATCTGTCAAGTTGGTACATCTTGATGGCCGGTTCATGAGGAATGGGATGCTGTGGAGCAGCCCTTCGTTGAGTCATTGCCTAAGCCGAAATCACAACCCTCTGCATCCTTCAGTCCCTCCTGGGCTGCATGCTTCCTACGGCTTGTATGCCCGCTTTGGGCTTTGTCCTGCGTAAGCATCGAAGCTGCAACTCGCAGATCCTCTCATCTCACTCCATGGCCCGAAAAGCAAAAGCATCGGATACTTCAACTTAACTACGCGACTCCTGACTGCCGGGTACAGTACGGTTGTTCATGTAGGCAAAGTCAATCAAAGTCACGTGGGCCTACAACCGCTGACAGGACCCGGATGCACCTGGCACTGGTGAAGACCCCAACTTCGCCCAGACGCCGGATGCTCAGATCCCAAGGCGGTTGGCAAGATCATGGAGTGCGGGAGAAATGTATCGTTGGGGCGACAGGATTTGGAGGGTGCAACAGATATAGATAAGAATTGATCTGCTTGAGTGGCATGCACTTAGTGCACGAGCAGGCCATACGTAGTGCATGTTGAGCTAGTTGGGATTGTTAGTTTTGGTCGCAGATATCCCTTCTCTCTCTCTCTCTCCCCTGCTCTCGCCCTCGCTCTAGCTTTCGCTCTCGCTTTCGCTCTCTCTCTCTCTCTCCCTCTTTTTGCCTGTCTGTCTGTCTCTCTCTCTCTCTCTCTGTCTGTCTGTCTGTCTGTCTGTCTGTCTGTCTGTCTGTCTGTCTGTCTGTCTGTCTGTCTGCCTCTCTCAATCTCTCCTCTCTTTCGCTCTGTCTGTCTCTCTCTGTCTCTCTCTTTCTCTCTCTCTCTGTTTCCGCTCTCTCTCTCTGTCTCTCTTTCTCTCTAGCTCCCTCTCTCTCTCTCTCCCTCTCTCCCCTGCGTACATACGTCACGATGAGATACATATTGTACCGTAACGTGGAAGCTCGGAAACTTGCTAAAAAGCCCATGGACATAGAATATTTAGATCCTTTGGAAAAGCAATGCTGCCTAGGTGGGGTCCTCTGATTCTCTCGCGGAGTGGTCAGTACTATGTCTGCCTTTGCTCGGGCAGAGGACAAGTCCAGCGCCCAACAGCTCCATTTTCCGGGGCAGCTCGTGCTGCTGGCAAGCGCTTCCGCTGTATGCCAAGTTGACCCATCTTCAGTTTAGCGCAGGAAGGACATGTTCCAGCGACATCGACTTTCAGGTGGAGATCGGCTTGGGCCACAGCTCGGGCATCCAGGAAGATGCGTGCATGCTGGCATCAGCGTGCTCTCGAGGCAGTGTCTTTGCTTTCTGGCCTGACCTGCGCAAGGGCCTCAAAGTGTCTCCTTGTCGGCCGGTGTTGCTTGAAGCCCGACATAATGTGTGTGCCTGGCGACAAGGCTTGGAAAGATCTGGGGGCTTTGAGCAGCCGCCTCAACTGCCTCCGAATGCGCGGCAACGCATGTGCATCGAATGGAGCGCTACAGGGCCATTTTTTCGGAAAGATGTCGCGACAATGAAATCAGGGAACCTTCTTGCTGTTACACCCCTGAGATCTGGAGCTGGATCTGTGCATCGGTTAGCGAAGTGCCACTATACATCCAACATTCCTGCTCTATCCTGTCTGGCCGCATACCAGAGGGACCGGGGAAGCACAATGTTTCCGGGACCGAACACATGCCGTGATTCCACGAGGCTGAGAGTTGTGCCGCATGTGGTCTTCTCGCTGGATTTGATCGTGGCGCGCTTAGTACATCGATTGTCTGGCCCAGTGCTGACTTCGAGGCTACACCGGGTACCTTAACATCTTCAAGTTTAGGTCGTTGCCACTCGGGCGAGCTCTAACCAAGCCTGTGTAAAATATCGTTGCTACTGCTACACTAGCAGTCGCTAGCACAGAAAACCTATATATATATATATATAGATATATTAACAAAATATATATATATATACTTTATATTATATATCCCTTTAGAGAAGGGTCCGCCCGAGCGCTCCAGGGACCCCAGCTCTCGGAGGAGGACCGCGCCAGGAACCGAGCGCACGGTTTAGGGTTTAGGGTTTAGGGTTTTAGGGTTTAGGGTTTAGGGTTTAGACGCACTCTTTTGTACTGCATCTTACTTTGACAAGGAATCCGTTATGCAACAGTACAGCGTTTGGTTCAACACTGACATCGCTTCTGCGTTTGACTCGGTGTCGCATGTGGCTTTGGCAAATTTCCTGCGGAGCCGCGCAACTGGTAACAATATTCTAGAGACGGCGAGATTGATTCAAGTAGCAACTCAGCCCACCATGCTTTTTCAGTGGGGCGGGGAGGAATTCAGCATTCAACAGTCGCGAGGCATACAACAAGGAGGTACCCACTCATGTCTATTGTTTAGTGCCGTTCTGGGAGTTCTTCTAGGTCAACTTCAGCAGGAATGGTTCCGAGAAGGTGAGTCCAATACCCACGGAGTGTTCTTGTGGACCTACATAGATGATCTCCTCCTTTGCTTTCGGGACTGGGATCAAGCCTTGCGGTTGAGTACCCGACTCCAAGAAGCTTTGAGCACACTCGGATTGCAGATCAATCCGAAAAAGAGCTCCTTCGTCTCCCACGTGTCACGACTTCAGGTGGACCGAGCTTCGTTTCCAACAGAGTCCCTTCCGTTTCAGTGCAAGTGGGAGAACAAGCCATCTACCTTCGAAAAGTTTTTCGGCATTGGGAATCCATGTCTATGTCGAATGGGAACAAGCTACTTCCTGGTATTATCGCCACTTGTCAAGCTTCATTTGAGGCCTTGCAACCGATTGTGAGAGTGCACTCGTGGACGGGGGCAACAGCTGGTATACACTTCCTCTCGAAGTATGTCGGTAGTAAATTCCTTTGGTATACCCCGCTCATTGACCCTAATGTTGGAAACATAAAGGTCGTCAAGATGGTCCAAAACCTCGCTATCATCAAAGTCCTCAAACTGCATATACCACAAGCCTTGAATTTCAGATCGGCCATGCCCATACAGGTGCTTCGAAAACGCGTGGCCTATCATTTACTGGATGCTCATAGAGAGTATTCTTGGGCTCACAACATGCTGACTAGAAAATGGAATTACCTTGGCCACCTTATCCGTCGCGATCCGTCCCACCTAGCTAGGGCTGCGCTTCTTGCCGGAATTCGGGATTTCACATCGGGGCGCATGGGCCCGTGGAATAGTCATCTCAAGTGGTTGTACGACGCGGCTTGTAAAATCTATGGTGTGATGCATCCTTACCCTTTCGTGCCAGCCCAAATCAAGCAGATTACAAACCAACTCCAAGCTTGGGCGGACGATAGAAGAGGATGGAAAGCCAACGCACAGTATTTCCACAACCTTTGTCTGCTGCCTTGCGCTATTTGCGTGTTGACGTCATGGAAAACCTGGCGGGACCCGCTGCGCCACGAAGTGCCGTGGTTGGCCTCTGTGTATGTGTGCAGAAGAGTTTCAGTGTCGCAGGGGGTGAGTTCTTTCAAAGCTTTCTTTATCGACAGGGAAGACGGCTTACTGGAGTTTGATGTTGGTTTGGAGATCTCGCTGGATTCATTGGTTTCTTTCATCTCGCATTTGCTGATGCTGCGACCGCTCGTGTGCGTGCAACTCCTGATTTCTGAGCAGACTGCTGATGGGTACTTGTATTCCTTCAAAGAAACCAACACACATTATTTGCAGAGCAATATAGTCGTGCTAGCAGAGATAGTTCCAGTCTCTTGGCTCGCTAACGTTTGGAATCTCAGCCAGCAGTGCTGAGCTTCAGAGCGTGGGCGGATTCGCTGGCTAACACTCACAGCCCAGCTGCAAAAAGGGGTTAGGGTTTAGGGTTTAGGTTTAGGGTTTAGGGTTTTAGGGTTTAGGGTTTAGGGTTGAAAACTTCGAATCTCCCCAGGTGCGGATTGTGGACTACGACTTGGAATGTGGGCACCCTGGGTCCGAAGCTCAGAAGCTCACAAGCTTATTGTGTGGGCTCGGGCTCGGAAGCACCGCAGGTCGGAATACCACACGGATGCGCTGCCGCACACTTAGACTTGGCAACTGCGGGAAGTACTGGACAATTTTGGAAGCAACATGCGGTTGTTCCTGGGCCGAGCCGTTTCCGGCTCATATAGAATGACAAGAGGCAATGGGCTTGCTTTGTTTTTTGGGCTGCTGGTAGCCCTTCAACCGCAGAGCAGTGTCTGCATGCCACTGTCCGCCTCTCGTCTGAACTCGGACCGTATGCGGTAGTTGTTGGTGCTGGAAGTCAGATTTAAGGGCTCCCCCCATTCCAAGAAGGTCCATCACACCGGGAGGTGGACGTAAGTATGAAGACTCACTGAAAAGGAGATTTACGTGTCAGCATGCGGCAGACGGCAGCAGTTGACGATTAGGTGACAGCGGCAGCAGTCGGCGAGCGTGCATGCTCTAACTAATGCTGCGAAGGTGTGTAGAGACGCGTCGCGAAGACTTGTTGCCGAGGTGCGCTTGAAGGCTGCCTTTTCAAGTGGGGCGCGGCGGCAAGCGCTCAACCTGGGGAAGCGAATCCGATCCAGACCGTGGGGAGGCGCACAACTTTACGGATTGAGGTGTGCGAAGCTTGAAGGTTGTGATGCTGTTCGGTTTAGTTTGCACTGCAGATGCGAGAGGGAGGGGAGTTTATGAGGAGATTAGTCAACAGCTGGCGTCAGCTTGCCGCAATTTTGTGGTAGAATGTGGATTGGATGCGATAGCGCTTGCAGAGCGACAGTGTGTTGATGAGTTGGCTGGTATTGGCTTGAAGTTTTTGTCTAAGCCCGAGTCAGGGCTCGGATCCAAGGTTTGGACTTCTGGGCTCCGGGACAGCAGGCAAACTTGGTTTCGAACAGAAGCTTTGGCGCTGGTGGCGCGAGTCTGGAGCTTAGTCGCAGCAAGACATCGTGCTGAGTGTGCATTTGCGTATGCGGAACTGAGCTCGGCAGATACGGCTTGTCTCAATTGTAGGCCATGAGACGATCTTTCTCCACAACCACATCGACATCGCTGCACCAGAGCTGCCCCTGAACAGAAGTTAAAATTTACAACTTTTCAGCTTTCTCGGCAATGAAGTGCCTGCCGAAGAGGACACGGTCAAGACGGTTTAGCCAGCACCTTGCACTACGACTGTTCTCACCCGGTAGAGTGAGCGGCTGCGGGCATGGCGTGAGGGTTCCCATGGGCTGAGTGCGCAGTCCGTTTCGTAATAACTAGAATAGGATTTGCGGCCCATTATGCCATAGTTATAATAATACGGAGCCCCCAAAATAGTCTATAATTCTAATAATACGGAGCCCCCGAAATAGTATTGGTAATTGTTTAGGCCCTACATTGTGGTCACCCCCGTGAGAGAAAGGCGACGTCGGCTGCTCGAGCTGGCCATGGCCGCGGATGCTGCAGACGCTTAGATAAGTACCTGTATTATTTTGGAGGGCTCCTTACAATAATTATGGTATCATGGGCCCCCAAAACCCTATTCTAATTATTAAGTTGGACAAGGAAGTGCCACCAGGGGGCCCCTGGTGTGCAGCAGCCTCTGCTTGCTTTGTCCGTCCTGAGCTCTGAAGATCCGTGCTGGATATTGCTGGATACATAGGCTTTGTGTGTTGTCTTCGGGGCTGCCTGCAGCCTTGTTTTCAGCCTCGTGGCATCTCTTGCCTCGGTCTTTTCCTCCCAGGTCCGTGTCTGTTTCGTCTCGTCGTCTCGTGCCTTGCGCTCGCTCCCAAGCAGCGCCGGTACAGATGTTACTTTCACAACAGGCTAAGTCTTTCCACAACCGTTGCTACGCCGGTACTCGTTGCAGCACTCCCTGGCATTAGGCGGGATGGAACCTCAGCCGCGGTCAGCCTTTGAGGGCCAGGTGGGAGATTCTGTGCTGTTGAACGAGCTCTTGGCCTGCTGACCCGACGATAAACCGAAGCCTCTCAAAGAACTATCCGAGGGCAGCTGAAAGCACGAGCTGCAGGTGTTTGGAGCTTCTGACGTATCGAGGAACATGGAGATTTGAACCGGCGGCTCGTTAATAAGTCAGGCTGCGTGGCTTCGATCCGGGGCTCTGCAAAGTTTGCAGTCGCTTTTTGACGGGATGCATTGTCGGGCATGGCGCCTTGAAGGTTTGTGCCCGTTTTGTTTTTGGGGCAGGACGGTGCCGTGGTTTTGCTCCACCGCCAGTTTTCATGAACATAGCCTGGATGCATCCATTTTTTGACATTCTGCGACGTGCGGGCTGTCTGAAGACAGCTATACTAAGGTGGCGTGGCATGGAGATGGGGCCACACTACTGACTTTGCTGGTCGTTCTCAGCAACAGGCGTTCGTACGAGGGTGGCGCTGTTGAGCTGAGAGACTATGGCAACGGTCCTCACGGCCCACCGGAACCATCGCAACTTACAACGTTGGATAGGACGCAAGTGCTGGAGGTCATGGCCGACACATGGCACCGGCCGCTGCGAGCCGCATCCGCGCCGAGCGACACTGCAGAAGTAGCACGAGTGAGGCTGGAGCATCACGTCGACTTGGAGGCAGGCGATGCGATTGCCTGGCGCGGGTGGACTCTGCACCGTGCCACACCGGTGGTGGCTGGCAACAGGCAGGTCTTGGCCTCCGAATGGTGGCTGGGGGAAGATGCGGCCGACTCCGGGATCGCACGAGCCCCCGACTCGGTGGTTGAGTTCCGTCGGGCTCTGCAGCGCGACCCTCGTGCCTCACAGCTCCACCGCTGGCTGGGCGGCGCCTTCTGCGAGAAGCAACCTTGCCATGACGGCCACACGACTTCTTCGGCTTTGAGCGCTTACCAGACCGCACTATCCCTAGCTCCAGAAGACCCTATGGCCCTCCATGCCTTGCAAGCTTTCCTGCAGTCGGGCTCGCAAAGTGAGAAAAGGGAACGCGCGACCATTCCGTGGCTCTCCGGGCTTTTGAAGGAATGAAGATGAAGATGTATGAAAAAGCAGTAATTACGCGGACAGTGGCTTGAGCCCCAAGCCTTGTTCGGCAGTCTCTGAGGCGCGGACCTTTGGCAGACTCTCCGAGCACGCCTGGAATCGTAGGCTCTGGGCTTTTATTGCCATGGAGGTAGCTTCAAGCTTGGTACCGATACTTCCGGACACCCGATGGACCAGATCCCGGGTAGCGACAGTTGGTTCAGGCAGTCTGCCAGATGGCCAAACCAAGCTAACCTGGCCAGAGCTGCGTGGCCCTCGGGAGTTCTCTTTGGTGGGTTTCGGCTACAAGCGGTTACGTTGTCAAGCTGTGCTGGGGGCAGTGGTTCGTGAAACACTAGGCGCATGAAATGCAACCAGTCGCAGCTCGGACTTGACACGTGCGGAGGCGAGTGGTCTCCGGGGGGATCTTCCGTGTGTGCTGGTGCCCTGGGGCCCAGCAGGGCGGCGCCCACATCTCGGATGCTTCGCTGGTTTTCTGTCAGAGAGTCGCCCTAAGCCAAGTCTGAGGCGGAGCGCAGCGACTGCGAGGCGTCTGAGGACTTCTACGCCGAGGCAGCCTCCTGTGACATGCTGTTCCGATGTTCCGGTTACTGCGAGCTGATGCCAGTTCGGGACCTTTGCCAGCCTCCGCATTCGTGATGGCTGGCCGGCACCCCACATGTCCGGGAAGTGGCAGCGAGCACACGTCTTGGGCCAAAAGTCCACAGGCGCATCGTGGCTTTCGTCCAGCCGAGGTCCAGTGCGTGCCCTCGAGCCGAGGAGCCGATTCTGATTCATGCGGGCGCCCCACAGCTCCAAGTTTGCACGTTTCGCATGTTCGTAGCGGACGTCATTGATCGGTGTGCCTAGAGCAGAGATCTGAAACCGAGCCAAAGACGGCCGAGCTCAGGTGTCTGCGATTGGGCTCAGGCCAGAGGTGCTCCCGAGCGTACGAAGGGACGAAGGGGTAGATGGGGTACATTGTAGAACGGTACCATGGTTTTCCATTAAAAACTTACCAGGGAAATTCTCAGTCTGATTTGGCAGCTGGGAACCTCATGTCATCAAGGAGAGGCTAGTGATATTGGGTAGCAAGGCTCAAGGCCTGGTGAGTCTCACAGCTCTATGCCCTGGAACCGGGACGTCCCGAGCCCTTTGTAACTTCTGGAAGTGCATGGGAGGACTTGGGAGACCCTGAGCCAACAAAATCCAAACTGGAAATGTTCTCCTTGCGGATACGGTCCGACGGTGATCCTTTTTGCCATCTGAGAACGAAGTGTGACAGCGAAGCGTTTTGCGGGGCGTGCTGCGAGGGCTAAGGGCCATTGGGCCATCGAACCCACGCATTGTCACATTTATTCAATTGGGGCCCTGGTCCCTACGCTACTCATTGTCGTGGACGATTGCAGCCTCACCCACTGCAGCTTGAGGGAATGATCAAGAACTGTGGGAGCTGGAGGTGGATCGCATCCTGTTGCTCAAGGCATCCGAAGTCTGTGGAGAGGCCAGATTGAACAAATGTATTCCTTTGCCTCTGCATAGAATCCCCGGACAGTGCGCTTCCTACTAGCCTTTTGGGCTATCCGTCAGGGCATTCCTGACGTTTTGGCTCCGGGTGGAGCTGGCACCTAAGCGCACGAGCGCCCATCTCTGGATCCAGCCAGCAACATTCGGCTTTGACTGGTCTGAAGTCGAGGTCGTGAGCTCGGAGTCCGGGTTCGGTGCTCTCCAGTGCAGGCAGGATCCGAATGTTCGGGCCTCAGCCAAACCCTGCTCTTTGTGCGCAGGGCCGAAGTGGTGTTTGGGAGGCCGGCGCAGAGGACCTGGAGCGGAAGATGGTGTGCGGAGGTGTCGACTCATTGGGTGCCGTGCGCACGGGCCCCAGTCTTTGCCGTATAGAGTCGTAGAGCCTCGGAACCTTTTCCAAGTTCTTCTCCGACCTCCGAGGTACCTACACCCTCGGAATCTACCAGATTTGCGTTTGTGGAGCGCTTCCAGCCTATGCTGGGCTCTCAGCATGCTGGCGAAGCGCTGCAGCGAAAGGGCTTGACTTGTTGACGGCTGCGGCTGCAGCATGTAGCCGAGCTAGCCAATGAGACTTCGGCCGTACCATAGATGATGCCAGGATTGCTCACATCCGTCGCACTACTGGACTCCTGCTGGCAAAGCCTTCCAGGCATGAAGGGGATGAACTGATGCCGGTGGCCTGTCACCCTTCATTCTTCTCCACTCGAAGCCGTGCATCGCAGTATCACAGATGTGACCTAGCCTTCTGGGCTTTCCAAGCAGCATGCACAGAAGGAGGTCATAATGACAGCAAGTGCGAGTTTGGATCCCGCTCGATATCGGGCATCGCATTGGTCCATGGAGCCACGAAGCCCACGCAGCGAGGGGAAAAAGGCTTGAACGCACTCGAAGGACGACACAACAGGTGCCCGGTTCTACAGCTGTTGGGGACGGCTTGTGTTGGACCGTCTGCCCAAGCGGCTATCTTCATACTCCACATGATGAGGATGCCAGTGCATCTCCACCGGTTACACTGTTCCATCCGCTAGGGCTAGGGAATACGATGTGGTTCCGAATCCAGCACAGATAGGCGTTTAAGCCGACACAGTGACGATGCCTCTCGGATCGCCTGGCAGGTGTTGATGAGGTCCGACGCGCCGGGGTTTCGTCCCCAGTCACTGCCACTTTCTAAGGGTTTTGATGGCTGGTCGGTGATGAGCTGTTTGGGAGAGCGGGCGTGTCAAGTCGAACAAGTTTCAAGACATCCATTCAACAGACAGTTGCAGTGCAGGGCCGCGGAGAGTGTGCCCCCAGTGTCACTCCTCACCGTTTCCAAGAGCGCAGGCCTCAAAGACACAGGAGAACGACTCTCGGTGCGCCGTGCGACTCCGTCCTTGAGGTCCTGTGGTAGCTGCCGCTTACGCTTCGCAGCCGCTCGGCTCCGAGCGCCGGCTTGCCGCTGGATACGAGGCCGGGCTGAACTGCAGGGAAGTACCTACTAGTTAGCAGCATATTAGTAGCAATAATATTGTTGTTAATACTATTATTGCAGAAGGAAATTTCCATTTGATCTTTGCACGCCCGCAACGGATCTTCAGGACGGAGTGGTGCGCATATGGAAGCCAGCAGTCCCGGAGATTGTCGCAACGCAAGGGCCCAATCATTTCACTGCTTCGAAGCATCGCAGCTACGGAAACAGCGCGACCTATCCCAGCTGCAGGCACGTACAACACCTGAGTAAGGTCGACCTAAAGACTTCTTTACCGCGATGCATCGCTAGCAGCAAGCATTTGTACTGTAGTTTTGCAAGGCTGATCGGCCACCTCGACCACGTTCAGGCGATGCTTGCTGCACATTACATGCATCATGGTTCACTGAAGTACAGTCACACATCAACGCCATTATTCGGCAACGGGCGATGCACAGTCGTGCCAGGCAGTGGCTTGGGCACCCGATGGTAGCTGGCTGGCATCAGCAGGCGAGTCACATGCTCCGGTCTCGACTCGTCACTAGTCTCACGTGCTCCCACCTCGCTTTCATCCAAGCTTTGTTAGTGGAAGTTGTCCCAAAAACCTTGCCCAAGACTTCAGACCCCTCAGCCCTCTCCGGTCTCCCCCACTTCACCCCCCAACTGACGCAAAAAGCGAAGAGCACTAAGAGCAACGGAGGCCTCGATGGCAGTCTGCGGCTCTGGGGCACCGCTGCGGGCCTCGGCCCGCACGGCCAGGGCGTGGGGGACTCAAAACATGCGACGCTCACTTTGAGAAGTTTGTTGGTTCTAACACTGTAAGAGCCTTTTAGGGTTTAGGGTTTAGGGTTTAGGGAGGTTTGTTGGTTCTAACACTGTAAGAGCCTTTCAGGTGCCGCCGCACGTCTGCCCCAACTGGGCTCCTGTGTGGCACAGGCCAGGTGGCAACATGCACGGAGCCAAGATGGAATCGGCCCAGGTTCAAACATGTCGCCTCATTTCATATCAACTACCTATAGTCTCCATTGTAGTTCCGTTTTTTGGTTAAACCAATTATATATTAAGGAGTTTATAGGGTATCCCCAAAAAAGGAACTACAATGGAGACTATAGGTATCACATAAACCGTGGGCGTGCTGAGCAAAAAAACGCTGTAAACGCGCGCAGCGAGGCCAGATTTTGATTGGCAGAACGTCATCCTCGGCCACGTGTGAGCCCCCCGTACCTGTGAAACATGAGCGCGGAGAGATGCGGAAAGCTTGCACTAAAGAAGTGCAGTGCCAAGGCTGAGCATGAATCCCCTCAACATCACGCAGGATCCTTCAATTCGGATTCAGTTCGTGGATCTGCAACCTGCGTATGTTCGAGGAGCCTTTCGTGAACTTTGCAGAAGCTCTCTCCCACGAAGATCTTGCAGACATAGGCACGGACAAGATGCGGCAAATTGGAAATATTCTGCGGACGACAGTTGCAGAGCCGACTGCGTATGCCATCTCTGACAGGTCACCTGACCTTGAAACGAGCCTCAGTGCAGTGTGAGAAGGCAGGGGAAGATCGACGCGGTGCGTCGCAAGAGGGTATCAAGATTCAACGCCGGAGGCCTGCAGCAATTTCCGGGAGATGGCAGCCGACTTCTGTGAGCCGGACGCCCAGTCGCGCAAGGACAAAAGGTGAGGTCACGGTCGAGGTGAGGGTGCTTCTCCATTCTCACGTTGGGGTGCGAACTGTTGGATTAGGACGATTAGGATCTGGGATCCTCGCTGCAAAGAACGAGATGACGAGATGTCTTTTTGCCTAGTAACTAGTAGATCGAGGGTCAGAGACGGTTAGGATTTTTTGTTTCTCTGCTCAGCCTGTCTTGCCCACAAATATGGGTTTGAGGGATGCAAGCACGTTTCTACATGGCTTGATGTTGCTAGGGCAGGCGATGCTGCAAACAGTCTTGGCTTTCTGCTTCATGTATGCTGAGTAAATGGACAGGTGATCGTAACCCCCTGTCAGCAACATTGTCCGTGTTGTCGTGCCGGTTTTGCTGGTCTCGTGCTTCTTGTTGCTGCTATGTACTCGGTTTTGATCGGCCGCTGATGATCGTACGCCGTTCATGCTGCATTATTTCGTGTTGCTACTGTTGCTTCGCTGCTTCTGCTGCTATGCGTTAGATGGAGTCACGTCCTTCATGGTTAACGGACCTTCTGCAACGCGTTTTGTTGTCACGATTTGTTGTGTCATGCTTCCTCTGAGTAGTATTGCCGCCACATCATCGTGCAGAGTGGAAGGTGCGGGCCGAGCTTGGAATGCCACATTCTTGGGCGACCTCCTCAGCTTTCTGGGTTCTTGTTAAGGGATTTAATTTAAGTTACCATAATAGGGATCTATAGTAAATAATATGGTTTCCTTATTATGGTAACTTAAATTAAATCCCTTAACAAGAACCCAGTTTTTCTTAGCCCCTAGGCCCCTACCTTCGCGGGCTCTAGCAAGATGTATCTCTCGAGAAAGGACCTGCCTGCCCAAATGTGGCTTGGAGGCCGACTATGTGCATGCAGTGGGTCAACAGAGCTTCTTGTGGATGACGTATGCGTGAGTAGCCTTACACGATGCAGGCATACGTCTGGCCGGTGGCGCACAAGCAGGGCCTCACCGCCGTTGTCGTGTCGCCACGGCCTCGAGTGTGCGTGCCATCCCGACTTGGAAGTTACAATTTCTGCCTTTCAAAGAACCCGAACGCTCATTCAGCTCAAGCCTTCTGCCGGGCATGCATGGAGCCTCTGCCGCGTGGTTTGGACCGGCATGGCCGGTCCTGAATTCAGTTCATGGACGCTGAACCTCTCGCACTCGCAGGCCTTGGGATGAAGCCGAGCTGACCTTTCGTCACCGGCCGTGTCCCAGGTGCCAGTTCTGGAGGCAGCACTAGAAAAGTGCAAGCGCTGGCTCCAGCATGATCGAACATACCGGAGACCAGAGGCTGGGATTGAAATGATTTGGAGTCTATCTGTAACACTCAGCACAAGAATTGTGGGCAGTTGCTCGAATTGGAGTGTTTTGACCGATCTTGGCTTGACTCCGGTCGATGCCCTGCCCGATCTCTGGAACAGGCAGCGTGCCAAGCGGATCCGTTTGCCGTCTTGCACCACGGCCCTTCTGCCGAGGCTACGCTCATCCATTTTCTGATGCAGGTCACAGTGAACTTCTTGCATTGTAAGGAGAGTGCATATTATGGCCCGTTGTAGCCGCAGCAGAACGTCCTTGTCATTCTTCTCCTTGTCAGTTTTCGCTTCTTTCTATCTTACATGGGCGATCACTGCGATAGGGGCAGTGCAGCAGCGAAGACAGATTCGGCCGCATGACGTGACCTACCGGTGCCGACTATCAACCTGTTGGCAGGTCTTCGTCATGCATTGTTCCGAGAGGCTGGCTGTGGTGGTTGCTGGAGTTCGCTAGGCCTGCAGAGATATTCAGGGGCTTATGCCGTGATGTTGCAGCCGCAAGCCCCCAAAACGAGTTGTTTGTTTGCCAATCAACGTAGAAACGTGATGCTAGGATGTGCTAGTGCTATCTTGTGCTTGGGACCGCATGAATGCTGCTGCTGGTGGTGTTGTCGTTGTTGTTATTGATGATGATGATGATGATGATGATGATGATGCTGTTGTTGTTGCTGTTGCGGTTGCTGAGTTGGTCACGTGCAGACGGTTCTTCTGTGATAGGCTGTTTCGAGGTCGCAGGTTCGCTTCCACCTGCGCCAGCCGCCACCGCGCCCAAGCTTTGTACAGAGGGCGAAGGCGCGGTCAATTTGAGTCCTGCGGCAGCATTGCCCTAGTATGTCATGGGGTTGGAGGTTGCGCTGCTTCCATATCAGCTACTCAACCATCGCCATGCAGAAGGCGGCGCAGCTGGTGGTTCATACCCAACGTACGCGTCCCTTAGCCTCCTACCCTTGAAAGACGCAATTGCCCGACATCTTGCGGGAACTGCATCACGCGCATGTCGCAGACCCGGGCTTCCAATCGTGCCTGAAAGGCGACGGGGCAGAGCTGGGCGAGGCCACGCGGCAAGTTGCAGGCGCAGAGGAGACCGAGGTCGGACACCCGGGAATGGCTACAATACGGCTACCACGGCAAATTGTGATGAGCCGAGTGTCCGCCCGACCGTAACAGAACCAAGGAGGTGTGACTGTGAAGTGCTGTCTACACAAATTCTGTTGCGACGAGATATCTCTTTGTCTGCTCTGCCGCGGGAAAACATGCTCCCAGAAGAGGCCCCCCTTCCCACTGTCAGAGTCAGATGTCACATGACTTGAGCAGCGCCGGGAAATACTGGAATGGTTTAAACCCCAAGCGCACTGAAGGCTTTGGACGCGCTCGCGGCCACCTGGGCGGTGCTGCGGCCCCTTGTAGAGGAGCTGCTGGCACCGGGCCTGAGGCGATGACAATCATCATGATGATGCTGGTGAGATGATGATAACCTCGAAGATGACAAAGGCTGTGGGTGATGCTGATGCTTGTGATAAGAATGACGGAGATGACAGGGACATCGGTGCCGGGAATTAGGATTGTCGACCATCATCGTTCTCAAGGGGGTCCGCTGAAGGGGTGCCTGGAAGGGGTTTCCGGATTCCCTGCCTATCAGCGGCGTTGTTCACGTATTGCTGAATGTTGCTTGTTGCGGAGAGCCATCAGAGCCCATAGAGCTGACAGAGGCTTAGCGACGCCCAGAATGTCAAAGTGTCCAGTGGCCTCAAGCAAGCAAGCATGCGAGCTAGATAATTTGGGAGGTCCTTATGCGGCCGCCGCGGCAGTACAGCTGTGCCTCGATAGCATGTCTGGAATGTGCTAGCCTGGTGCTCAAGAGTTGGCAACTGCTTGAGGTGATGGATGTCTTTTACTACCCGGAAATGCCCGGGCAGTGGATGGCGTGTTGTGAGCACACCGATCCTGGATTGATCACTGTCGTGATTGCAGATGCCGCTGGGCTTGAAGTCCACAGAAACCATGCATGGGTGCCGGCCAGCGCAGAGCTCCCCAGCGCCGCCGCAATGATCGGCGAAGAGTGGGCGCACGCTTACTTCCTACAGGCAGTGCCTCTCCCGGCTTGCCAACCGTGCCTGCACCAAGTGCAGCTGAAGGGTGCTTCGCGAGTGAGCATAGCTTTTGAGATGCGACTGAGCCCAGAAGGTCGCGAGCAGTTGCTTCGGGCCCAAGAGGTCTTGTACAGTGACCCAGTGCAAAAGCCAAAGACTAACTGCACTTGTTTTGCCCCTGTGTCGACGTGGGTTCAGTGGGCGAGCAAGAAAATGAGACTCTTGGAATATTCCGCATGTGGCCCCATGGAAGCATCCGCCAAAGCGATAAAATGTGTGAACTTCCATCAGCATGGTGAGGCCAGATGCCGCTGTGATTGCCACGGCATCGTATGATGCCGATGTGCACATTTGGGATGCGAGGAGACGCTGCCTGGGGTTGTAGATTTCAAACTCGCTCGAGCCGCTCCATGCTCAGGACCCTTGTGCCGGAAGCAGTCTCGACCGTGCTCGCCTCATCTTTGTCGAATTTGTTCGGCTTCTTACCCACAAGCGCCAGTGCGGAACGATCATATTCACAGAACGGTAAGCCCCCTCTGTTGGAGAATAATGCTTTGCAGAAGGGTTTATTGCTCAAAAGCACATCAAAGTAAATCGATCCCGCGGCCCACGGCCTTGTGTCAGTCACAAGACCTTCCGATGAAATTCGGACTAATTTCGTGTGCCCTCTTGTCGGCGTACACCATTGGCAGTATCCTGCATTATCGCAACGTGGACTTGTCGCAAATGGAGCTAAGCAGAACTTTACTGGGCAACAACGCGACTCACCACCCCATCCTCGCGCCAATGATCGTACTCCACGATGTGGTGTCTGTGGTGATGACTCTGTTATTGGTACACCAATTCGTGAGATCACCATACCAAAACAAGGAGGCCCACAAAAGTGTGGGCATGGTGTGCTTTGCCGACATTTTCCCATTGGAGGTGCTGTCGGGATTCATAGTGATGTTCTGCAGGATTTGGACGCAGCCCTCGTCGAAAGGCCATCAGGACCTCAACATGGAGGAGTACGTGATTCTGATGCCTTGGTTCGGGCTGTTCAATGTCTTCGCGGTGCTCAACGCCATGCTCTGCATCAAGCCGTCGTGGCGAAAGTACACATCGCTGATGATCGTGGTGCATGTCCTAGGTTTGCTGTATGGCTTTGGGGTGATGCTTCGTCATTTGGTTGGCAACATCATGTCGTTGGAGGCCTACAGTGCGCGTTGGGAACAGAGCATCGAGTACTTGATCCGCCCGTTTTGGGC